ATATTGGGGGAAAGAACGAATGAATTCACGCTCCCAGAGAAGCGGCACAGACTATGGGTGAAGACCTCAAGCACCTGGGTTTGAATCCTGCTGCCATTACTTACTGCCAGCGAGAGCCTCGGTTTCCACATCAGTAAAATGGGGATGAGCGGCACACCGACCCCTGAATGATGTGAGGGTGAAGATGGTGTATGTAAGAGCCTGAGCACTGATCAGATTGGGGACAAAAACAGGTAGGAAATGGGAGGGGGCACACAGACTTTCTCCATATTCTAGCAGCTGCCAGGTAACGCCTGGAAACTTGGAAAATAAACCCACCAATGCAGTGCGGTGCTGGCTGACTAAGCACCAGCAGGGCACGATGATGTGTGAAGAGGAGCCTATGAACAGCGCCCCAGAGGCCGAGGGCCTGCGGGAGGCAGCGTCTGGGGCGACGGGAGGCGGCCGCAGAAATCCAAACCACAAATCGATTAGACAAGTTCCAACAGGCAGCCGCCTCTCCATTTGTCTCCGCTCCCAACTGTCACCCCGCTGTCAGGAGCTGAGGCATTTGCTCCATCGGACCCCAAATCCCTTTTGCTTTCTGCCTGCAATTCAACCCCCACCACCTCGCCACCACCCCTGAGATACTGCCCACACAGCTCTGCCCAGACTAGTTCCCGTGCCTGAGATACCCCTTCTGCCAGTTTTCTCAACAGTTCACAGAGCAAACAGTCCTCACAAGTCTGGGGAGGGGGGAGAGGAGAAGGGAAGAAAAACCCAATAACATCACAGAATGGCCTTCATAAAGGACTTCTGCATTTCAGGGTTCCCATTAATGTGCGTGTCAGGGTTCGTTTCCCAATCTAGAAGTTACGTGGATGAAAGGAGGGCCCCTTCACAGCCGCGCCCCCACGGAAACCACTAGGTGTACGGCAGAGGCAGCCCCCAGTGCAGCAAAACCAGATGCACCTACAAAGCTCTAAAGGACACAGCAGCAGGCACAGCTCACTGACCATCCCAGCACCCCCTGGCCATCCCCTTCCCTCAAATAGCTTGACTGTAGAAGCTAAAAAGACCGAGCCTGTTTTCCGAAGCCTCCCTTGAAGCTGGGGGTAGCCATGTGACATAACTGGGGCTGAGAGACCTCAGTGGGATTTTGTTGGGGGGATGTGTGAAAGCTCTTGCTTTCCAAGTAAAAGAAACAGTCACACTGCCGCCTTCTGCTTCTCTGTCATGAATGGAAATGTGACATCTGGAGCTGCAGCAGCCATCTTGCAACCATGAGGTGATAAGGCAGGAAGGAAAAGGCTGGGAGAACCAGCAAGATGCCAACTCAGAGCCCTATTCTAGTTTGGTCCCAGCAATTTGGGTCTTTTAATGTGGGAAAAATCAACTCCCATCTGCTTAAGCCACCCTTAACTCGGGTTTTCAGTTATTTGCAGCTAAAAGCATTACTAATTGGTCTGATACCTCATCCTTATCTATATAGCATACCCTCCTTACTGATTCAACACTACTTCTATCATACCAGGTTTTAAGGTAGATGTCTTATCTCATTTGATCCTTGATTTTTTTTTTTTAATTAAATTTATTTTTGAGAGAGAGCACACTGTTAGTGCAGAGCCTGATGCAGGGCTCGAACCCGCGAACCGTGAGATCATGACCTGAGTTGACATCAAGAGTCAGATGCTTAACTGACTGAGCCCCCCAGGTGCCCCTCATCTCTGAAGTTTCAAACCCACTTACCGAAGCACCTATTATTATTTGTACATCTCTACTCAACAGTCTCAGGGTCACTCAGACTCAAAGGGTCAGGACTACGTCTCTTCCAGACTCCCTACCACAGTCAGTAGCTTAGTCATCTGCTTAGTGTCCAGGACAGGGCCCTTGTCAACGACACCATCTCCTCCAATAGGTGATTAAGTACTACAAATGTCACATCTGAATATTCTTCTAGCCTACCCACCTCTCCCCACTGCTCCCAGCTGGCCTATGCTATACACGCGTGGACTGTTGTAACGGCCTCTTAGCAGGTCTCTCTGCACCCACACCTATCTTTCCACGGTGAATTTATAAAAATCACAAATTTGACCATGTCACTCCCTTTCTTAGGGGTTCCCGTGGCCTCCACGAGAAAGTCCAAACTCTTTAAGACCTAAAAAGACTTGCCTGCTGTGACCCCTAAACCTCTCCAGCTTCTCCAGGCCTGGTTAGTCTCTCCTCCTGGCTCTCTGTTCCAGTTATACTGTCATTCTTCCAGCCTCTCAATATCATCAGATACATTTCTGCTTTGGGGCCACCACATGTGCTGTTCCCTTTGAAAGAGCTCCCCTCCAGCTTTATGGCCTTGCTTAACCCTCACTCATCCCTCTGCACCCCAAACAGTGACTTTCCGTTTCAGATATTATGCTTTACCATTCTAGATTTCCAGTTCTTTTTTATAAAATAGTTTCCATTTCTCTTCTGAGATTCACCATCTGTTCACTCATTAGGACCATCTTTTCCTTTAAGTCCCAGACCACTTATATAACATATGTCTCTGGCTTTCCCTCCTAATACCAACATCTGGGTCATCTCTGAATCTATTTCTACTGGGCTGCCCCTACTCCCCTCCCCCCTTTTTTTCCACTCGATTATGAGCCAGAATTTCCTGATTCTTTGCAAGCCTTTTTTTTAATGTTGGACATGCAAGTAAAAAACCAACCCTACAGGGAGTCGGGATTATGTGATCTCCCTCTAAAAGTGCTGAGTTTTGTTCTGAAAATTCCTTTTGAAACGGTCAGCCTTACTTTTATTTTGGATTAAGTTGAGTCTACTCTGATTTTGTCTTTGGTTCTAGGGGTCATCCATACTTCTCACATAGGGCCTTTTGGGGGTCTCAACTGCATACTTCTGGCTAGGCCATACCCCCAGGATCTCTGAGCACTGTGCAGGCCCCCAGTATCTCTGGTCTCCTCTCCATCTTATTATAACCATTTTCACTTAGGCCTCATGGAGTCTTGCTTTCTGCATGTGCAGCCCTCAGCAGAGGACCTGCCGTGCACACAGATTTCTGCTCCCCCCTCCAGTCCCACACCACGCCCCGTTCTCCCAATTTTCAGGGCACACCAAGTGCTGACCTCCGAAGATAGCTTTCTCGATAAATCTGTGCAGGAGTTCAGCGGGAACCAGGTGAATCACCATGGTAACTAACAATTGCCGTGGAACAGTTGAAAATTCACAGCTGACGATAGAAAGAATAATGTCCCTCAGTGAGATTATAACATTTTCAACAGGAGGCAGTGGTCAAAAAAAAAAAGCTAATTAGATGGTCTTTCCCACAATGCCTAGTACAGAGTCGGCGTGAGGTGACCTGCCTTCTTTCCAAGAATGCAGTGGGGTAGACGAGGGCTCCCACAGCCTGCCATGTTATAGACAGCAACGTCCTCAGCTTTGTTTTTCTCAGTCTCTCGATATTACCATGTGCTTAAAAGGAGCAAGGCTCTGTGTTAACACGTTCTAATGGGTAGTTTTCCAAATCCATATGCTATTCTCTGCTACATTCTGGATTAATTACAATGGGAAAACTGCCTCATTGAAGATGCCTTTTGAGTGAGAAAACTGGAGGTCATAGATGCATATGGCACTGGTATTGTGAGTTGGTCTGTTGCGGTTCTTATTCAGCTAAGTTTTGCAGCGATCAGAGGTTATTTTTAACTTTGTGCTTTCTTTGCATGTAAGAAATATAGTACTGGGGAGCGCCGGGGTGGTTCAGTCGGTTAAGCATCCGACTCTTGATTTCGGCTCAGGTCATTATCTCATGGTTTGTGGGACTAGCTCCGCATCGGGCTCTGTGCAGGCAGCACAGAGCCTGCTTGGAATTTTCTCTCTCCCTCTCTCTCTGTTCCTCCTCCCCCCCAAAATAAATAAACAAATAAACAAAAAAAAAGTACAGTACTGGATCGCACTCAAAGTCCGCTTCAGCCCACTACCCTATCTCCAAAAGAGCACCTCACGGGCCACTAGGGACGGAGAGAACTATCCTTCTTACGACAACTAGCACAGGGAGGGACATCCATGGTGCACCGTCAGCAGCCTTTTAAGAGGTCTTTTAGGTCCTGTTTATGTCCAGTCTTAAGCTAAAAAATGGAGATGAACAAATTGCCACAGGAAACGTCCCTGATATGTTCTAGTCATTTCTCTCTGGAGTTTCTGGGAGTGACCCTCAACTCCGAATCCTGGGACTTGGGAAGCTTGGAGGGGATCTTGCACAGAGTGATTCTGGCATGCCCGGAATGCGTCCTGCGGCTCAAGGCTGTTGGTGATTTAATAAGCCAGCTCCCTCTTTCCATAGCTGGCTTTGAATTGAATCCCTGAACACATAAAGAGCCAGAAGGCACCTTAAAGACCACTTGGCCCCACCGTCTCTGTCCAATGATGAGAAAACGGAGGCTCCTGGCTCACGCCAGATGACAGTGCTAGTGAGGGACCCAGCACGCCAGGTGACAGTGCTAGCAAGAGACCCAGCACACTAGGTGATGGTGCTAGCGAGGGATCCAGCCAGAGGGAGCATCAGAGCTTTGGCTCCTGGCTGAGTTACTCCTCATTCTGGCCTTGCCTCCTGGAGACCATCTCGTCATGCCTTCTAGATGGTCTTCTCTGCACCCTCTGAAACATCACTCTATCTTTCTGATGGTTTTACTAGTATGATACCAATGAAGATACCTTTTTTTTTCCTTTCTAGCTTTACTGCTGATACAATCGCAAATAAAGTCAAATGTTTTTTGGCCTGTGTGGCAGCACAATGACTGTGTTGAAAGGTCGGCAAAAAACAGCTGACGATGACCTCCAGGGGCCATTCTGGAATTACCCTTAAAGCACCCAAACCCATCGCCCTCTAAATGGGTGGTCCTGAGGCTCACAGGCCACACCTTCCTAGAGTCCACCCTCAAAAGCGAGACTCTGTAATACCCAGAAGGCCTTGGTGCTGCCTCCCAACACATGGGGCGCTCCTGGGGCACCTCCAGGCTGACACTCACCTTTGCATAAGCAGTTGTCTTAATAAACCACTGTCTGAGGTACTTCTGTTCCACCTTTGCTCCAGAACGCCACGAACAGCCGTGCTCATCCACCTGCTCGTTGGCAAGCACCGTCTGATCCACTGGGTCCCAGTTAACCAAGGCCTGTTATAATCCATAAGACAAAACGGTAGAATCTGGTGAGCATCCTGAATAGGGTCATTTTCAGGTTGCCTGCGTGTGGGAAGGTCGGCAAGCGCGGTATCGCTGTATCTCCGCTCTGAGACTGGAGGACACCTCCTTGGAGTACTGCTGGGCAGGGGAGCCCCCGGCAATCTGTACAGAGAACACGTGCACTACTCCACGCTTTCATCCTAGAACACGCTCAGGACCCCGGGAGCTGAGACGGCAGAAGAGGGAGACCCTAAGGCTGTCTCGTCCCCAAATGCAGCTAGATAGTTATCGTGTCATTCTGAACGCCCGAGAGACCAATCGGAGGTCTGCAAGAACAAGAACTGCCAGTCTGCAAGTAAAAAAGCGACCACCTTCTGGAAGGCAGGGGGTGTGGAGAGTTGGTCTGGGGGAGACAAAGCTACAGGTATGGCAGGAGGGAGGGGGCCTGGTTACGGAGGCTACCGCCAGGATTTTAAGCGGCGGAACACAAAATCTGAACTTGGAGAAGTCTGTCACAGTGGGGGATGTACCTGGCTTAGAGGCGCTCAGGTGGCGAAGCGCGGAGGAACGCCAGGGGTGACAGCACGGTCTGAGGGTCCCTGGGGCACAAGAAGGATGGGTGGCAGCTACGCGCTGTGCTGTTTCTAGGCACAGGAGTGGGTAACTGAGGCTGCTTGGGGCAGTAAGAAGGAGTACTGGCTTTCTGCTGTTTTGACATGAACTCGAAACTGCTGCGCGGCCCTGCGGCCGCTTTCCTCACACAAGCTGGCAAAACCGCGGGGAGACCCTCTCCCAGGGGAGCAGAGCCCCACACTGGGCTCCGTGCTCACAGCGCAGAGCCTGCTTACATCGTCTGTCTCCCTCTCTCTCTGCCCCTGCCCTGCTCGTTTGCTCTCAAAAATAAAAATTAAAAAAATAACAAACATAAGGAATTGCTAATAATACAATAATAGCAGAGGGATTTAACATCCCCCTTACAGCATCATCTAACGATCATCTAACGAAAAAATCAATAAAGAAACAATGGCTCTGAATGACACGCCGGACCAAATGGACTCAGATATATTCAGAACATTTCATTCTAAAGCAGCAGAATAACGATTCTTTTTTTTTTTCCTAAATGTTTATTTATTTATTTTGAGGGGGAGGGGCAGCAAGAGATCAGGAGAGAATCCCAAGCAGGCTCCACAATGTAAGCCCGCAGAGCCTGCTTGGGATTCTCCCTCTCTCGCTGACCTTTCCTTGCTCTCTCTCTCTGACCCTCCACTGCTCACTCTTTCTCTCTCTCTCAAAATAAATAAACTCAAAAAAATTTTTTTTTACTTAAAAAAAGAAAAAAGCCCTTTACGCAGCACCTCTGCCTCCCGCCCCCAGCAAACCTCCAAGGATACGGAGACGCAAACAGTACCACAGGCTGCAAAAAAACCAGGACTTAATTTTCTTATCAACATTTCCCACACGCCTGGCATCTCTCAGGCTCTAGGTTACAAAATACAATGAGGGAGATGTGCTCTTAAGAGGCTTACACATTATCATAAAACCCTGGTGTTGAATGAAAGACAAATAAAAGCAAAACACAAACCCAATTTGTCCCCCATTGAAAGCCTTGGGGGGGGTGGGACAGCAAAAGCACCAAAGGAAACAGCATCTTAAATGGAAGATGCCTCAGCTGGGAGAACCCATTCGCACGTCTTCCCAGGACCGGCCCATGCACAGACTTGCAGGGCTCGGGCTCAGCCTTTCCACCAGGTGCTAACCTGGGGGTGGGCCACATGCAGGGTCCCGGGGTCCTGGGCGTGCAGAAGGTGAAGGCTTGTGAGTCCCCCGGGAACTGCTTCCCAAGTCCCTTTCCTCGGCTCCCCATTCTTTTTTTCTCTTTTTAGTATTTATTTATTAAGTTTTTAAATTTTATTTATTTGTTTATTTTTGAGAGAGAGAGACAGGACAGAGTGCAAGTGGGGAGGAACAGGGAGGGAGACACAGAACTTGAAGCGGGCTCCAGGCTCCGTGCTGTCAGCACAGAGCCTGACATGGCGCTCGAACTCACGAACTCTCACAGTGAGATCATGACCTGGGCCGAAGTTAAAAGCTTAACCGAGGGAGCCACCTGGGCACCCCGGGGTCTCCATTCTTCTAAACACTCTCTAGAGAGCATACAGCTTACCCTGGAACCGGGGTCTTCTCTTCTCCGTATTCCTGGTTTAAACATTTACTTGATGGACACCTTGGTTTGTAGGCAAGCACAGTCTTGCTATAGTTACTAGCATATCTGGACAACCTCCTTGACTATATATAGTCATTTCCTTCCCTTTCCCGGTTGACCTTGCTGTGTGCTAGCACCTACTAAAAGTCAAATCCGTGCTCCTTTATTGTTAACTACCTTATTTGTAAAACACAGCCTATACCTGTACTTTGAAATCAACCTTAAATCAGTGTGATTAAATCAACACACAAAATCATTAACACACCCGCAAACACACTGCACTCTAGTAGATTCTGCTCACTGCTTCCCTTAAATTATCTGGCAATGTCACAGAAGCAACCATTCCAAATAAGATAATTTCCCCAGTTGATCAAGGGTTAAATACCAGAATTCCTATTTTTTGTTTGTGTGTTTGAGCAATTGGATTGTGGGAAGCTTTCAGAAAGTCTTTTAGAAATGCACATCGCGGGGCACCTGGGGGGCTCAGGTCACGATCTGGTGGTTTTTTGAGCGTGAGCCCCCGTAGGGTAGGGCTCTGCACTGGCAGGGTGGAGCCTGCTTGGGATTCTCCCTCTCCCCCTCTCTCTGCTGCTCATGCACTTGTGCCATCTCTCTCTCAAATAAACTTAAAAAAAATTTTTTTTAAATGCATACCACAACACGAGCATAAACATCGATCAGCCATGTTCACAAGGATGGACTCTGTGCAGTAATAGTGGGGGTCCCGTTTGCTTTGCCCACTCCCCCCTCTGCTTCTCGACCCGTGAGTTCTCAGGGGTGTGGGAACCGAGGGCTCCGCTGGAGATTCTTGGGGTGATTTCACCTCGAATTCTCATGTATCCCTTCTCCTGTGACACAGCAGCTGCGTGGTCTAACTCCCACCCAGTGTGCCTCCTGTTGAGGGCCTCCTGCTTTCTAGTCTCCTGCTTCCCTTTACTGGGATCCTCCTCCCCTTTGCCCCCCCCCCCCCCCCACCAGGCCTCACCCTTCACACAGTCCCTTCTGGATCACATCCTCCATTAGCACGCATTCCTCTGCTGGCCCACACATCACTCCTCAGGCCCTTGGCTACTCTCAGTCATTTCCCTTGCTTCCTTCTCCTCAGGATCTGCTTTCACACCACCAAAAACCCTTCCAGAGTGTGCCCTCAGGCAGCTGCAGGCTCCAGAAGGAGGTTTTAGGGTATCGATTTTCTCAGGGTCCACTAGCTTTTTTCCCTGACAAAACTGTGCGTAATTAAGGAACACCACATAGATCGCATGAAAACGTCGAACTCTCAAAATCCATCTCGCTCCGTTTCATCCAGAAACGGCCTGGGCCTGGATGGCGTCCGGGAGGACGGTTTCCAAGGCTACCAGTTATTTACCATCACCGCCTTCCAAAGCCACGAGGGGGCAGAGCGAGGGGGCAGAGTGGGACAGGCTGCCTCCTTGCGCAGCAAGCATCGTTTCCTTCAGTCTGCTCCCCCAGCATGAGGCCACACAGCAAATCCAGCGGGGGGGGGGGGGGGGGGAGGGGCGCGAACATCAGCACTGTCATCAGCCACCTCTGAAATCTCAGAGGAGGACAAAGGCAAACCCACACACGAGGTGGCCTCCACAACTCCGCAGAATGCCCAAGCATAGTACAGAATCCTCCCTGCTAACTGCATCCACCACACTTTTTTTTTTAAACCAGAGAGGTGAAATTAATGTGCTGCCAAGTGGAGGTCTTTATATTCATATTTTTGGCTGAAAACATTTTTGTTTGGCGAGAGCAAGAAGAGATTCCTTTTGCAGAGGAAATGAGCATTTTGATGGATGGTGTTAGTCAAGAACAAAAGACCGCAACACTCTGCTGAAATACTTTCCCTACATGGAAGTTCATTTGTACAGCTTTTTAAGCAGAACTGAATTTAAGGGTTAAGGCCATCTCCTATTTCAAAAAAAAGTTACGACAATGCTATTAGAGAAAAGGTATTAATATGCGGGTTATTTTTGGCTAAATATGCTTTACAGGGTATGCTATGTGCAGGCTTTCTAAAGTCAATTAGCTTTCTGATGTTAATTTCAAAAGCTTATATTTTGAGGTAAACCCTAGGAATGGAATACCACCTGACATTAAGATATTTGAGGTGTTAAAGCCAACTTGAAAATAGCTACCCAATAAAAGGAGACCTTGGATTGGGGCTAACGCTGATCTTCAAACAATATACCCAGTGTGCATTTTTTGTATTCTATTTAGGATTTTTTTCTTAAGATCATGACAAATTAGTGGACGCAAAAAAAAAAATTATACACCAAAAGCCTTTCAGTCCACAACCAGCAATAAGAACACTATCTTTCTAAATGAAATCCATAAAATAAGCTACACTATTCTTCCCTAATACCTGGCATGGGTGAGCTGCTTTAGAATTGGCCAGGAAGATTTAGGATTTTTTTTACTTTCTACTTTTCCAATTTAAATCAACCATGACGCCAGGTGACCCTGCAGGTGTGCTCAAGCAGGTGTTTATTGAGCACCAGCTGTGTGCCAGGCACCATCCCAGGCCCTTCATAAGCACTAACTTAGTTAAGCATCTGACTTCGGCTCAGGTCATGATCTCACAGTCCGTGAGTTCAAGTCCCACACTGGATAAAACACAAGCCCCGTTTCTCTCTCTCCCTCTCTCTCTCTCTTTCTCTTCCTCTCTCTGCCCCTCCTTGGACTCTCTCTCTTTCTTTGCCCCTTGCTCACTTGTGTTCTCTCTCTCAAAATAAATAATGAAGAGCAGAGAAGAGAAGAGAAAGAGAAAATGCAGCTAACTTTAACTTACCTCCTTTTGATAGGCCAGTCCAGCCTCATAGAGTTTAACAAAGAGGTACTGGGTCCACTTGTAGTAATCTGGCAAACACGTAGTTATTTCCTGCCAAAGAGGAGGGAAAATCACTCACAGCCATTGTAAACATTCCCCCTGTACCAGCACCAACATATGCATTGGCCCTGCAATTCAATTTTGAAAAGCAATCACACCGCAAAAATATTTACCAACCCATGTATTTTCCACCAGTTTGTAAAGTGAGGGAAGAAGCAATTCGTTCTGGAAATAATGGAGTTACTGAAATGCCACCCAACCTTTCCCAGGGTCACTTTAATGAAAAGAAACCTCAAGTTTTCTGTACACCTCTCCTCTCCATCCATGTAATTAACAGGTGAATTACATTGTATGAAAGTGGGTATTACCATCTTTGTCAGCACATATTTGGGGAATCGTGATGCTAATTCATGAACGTACTTTGTTTTGAGAGCAATCTCAAAATTCAAAAGGCGTATCTGCCTGCTTCAGTACGCTGCTCGTTTGAAAACAAATCTTGCATTTCTACGTATAACCGGGACCTGCGGGCTCCTTTAGACTCATTTATATTCCATTTATCCCATTAGGTGAATCAGGCTGTTGCCTAGTTTAGGAAGACCCATTAAAATCTTTATTAAAAATTAAACTTAGTGAGAAATCACCTGGCTTGTATTTCTAAGCCTAAATCCAAGGTTCCAAAAATTTATTTTCTTCCCTGAAAACACATTTGCTATAGAAACTTTAACAAGTTACTGATTAACCAATCTCTAAGTTGATAAATTTAAGCACAAAACCTCCACCCTATAACCACAGTTTCTTTTCCAGTGTTCTTGAACTTCAAAATAGCTAACATAGAAATGGACGTAGGGTAGGGCCATACTTCCCCCAAAAGTGAATACAACTCTAACTTCCTTTTGATGAATGAATAAAAAGAGAGCTGAAAACTCCAAATACAAGGGCCAGTATGACAGGAAATGGGCAAGGTGTCAGGTAATTAATCTCCTGGGGCTCCCAACGGGCTATTTTTTCTTTTGTAAGAATCCTGGGTCCTTTTATGTGCTTTTGTACTCTGAGAAAACAAGGAATTCAACTCTGATCACTCCCCCATTCCCAGCTGCAAGGCAGGTAGTGAATAACCCACCAGCGTAACAACTTTGCTCACACTGGAGCTGGCCCCTGGCGGGCTGGCCCCACGCCACACCAAGACCGTGACTCGCACGACATGGCCCCGAGGCCCCAGGACACCAGGTCTGCAGGAACGTCATGCATAAAGCACTCTGCCGACTCCAGAATGGGACCAGCACACTATGGAAGGGCTCGTCCCCCCAAACATCCAAGTTCATCTGATACTTTTTTATTATCCTTTCTCCAACTGCCAGGTGCCTGCCCCCAAACCTTGCAGGCACAGCACACACAGCCCATTTTCCTCGGTTTTCCAGACAAGCCCCCTAAGAACTCCCATTTTCTACCAAAGCCCAGGGCAGGAGCTATGTTCTAGGATGTTTTGCTTTGCTCGGGTTGAGGCATGCCCAAATCACTACTGAATATAAAATAAAATACACGGATGCCAAGAATGCTTGCACATTGAGTCAAATTTGTATCCCTCATGTAGGTTTCACAAATCAAATTCAAATCACACTGGTCCACAAGATGAGCTGGGGCAGGGGGTGCATGAGGGGTAGGGGAACTGGGTAAAAATATTCGCAGACCTTATTATTGTGAACATCTTTTAAAATTCTTATCCATTAGCTTAAGGAAAGACATGAAGCAAATATGACCAAGATAATGACAATTGTTACACTGAGGGGAGTTCTCTGTTCTCTATCATTCATTCATTCATTCATTCATTCATTCATGGGAGAGGGCCATAAAGAGGGAGACAGAAGATCCAAACCTGGCTCTGCACTTGACAGGCTGACAGCTGTGAGCTGGGGGTGGGGCTCGAACTCATGAACCGTGAGATCATGACCTGAGCCGAAGCTGGACACTCAACTGCCTAAGCCACTCAGGTGCCCCTCTATTTTTTTATATATTTAAGTTTTTCAGAATAGAATATCAAAATACTTCAAATGAATATATATATACATATGTATGTATGTGTGTATGTTCTCAGCCCCTGAATCTGCCTCCATATTGAGAGAAAAATTAAACAGCAATGGGACAGTATTATTATCTTCATCTTGGTTTACGGTTTTGAAAATTACTTTTACTAGAAAAAAATAATAGATCCAGTCAGGAAAAAAATTAAAAAAAGATCGCTATCCAACTCCAGCCAAGCACTAGCCTACTTTCAGTCACGTGTAATGCAAGGTGTGTCCCCTCGGAAATGAGGGAAGGTGAGGTGAGGTGAGATGAGGCAAGGCAAGGTGAGGCCAGGTGAGACAAGGTGAGGGATTAAGGGACTGTGGGCCCCCTTCTTGCACCCTGGCCTCAAACTTGGCTCTGATCCATTTTATTTATATTGGGTTTCTGCACATAATGTTTGAAGGACAAGTAGCATCAGCTGCTAAGAGCACAGCTTGAAAACCACTGCTCCAAGGACCATAATCCACTCCCAACAGTTGGATTTCAATGCATGTTCACCTCATTCCCACTGCCCCCCATGTTACCTGCCCAGGGGAGACCCTGAGGACAGGATCTGCCCTTCTGCCCATTTACTCCCACCTGCTGCACACAAGGCCCAAACAGCACCCTCAGTGCCGTCTACTCTGCTCGTGAACAGACCAGAACAGGTGCCCACCAGACTCCCCGGGAGCCAGTGAACCATGAACATGCTGAACCCTGCTCAGAAATGCATTTCCTGAGGGGCACCTGCATGGCTCAGCAGTTAAGCATCTGACTTGGGCTCAGATCATGATCTCTACGCTTGTGAGATCAAGCTCCGTGTCAGGCTCTGTGCTGACAGCTGTTCCTAAAAAAGCCAAGGAACCCTTCCGGAACCTTCTTGATTTGCTAATTTAAAAGAGCCCCCAAAACCCCAAATAACTATTTTCAGTTTTCTAATGCTTCATCTCAGTGAAAATCATCAAAGACATCTTAATGGAATTAAACGGCCTTAAAACCTTTGACTCTCGTCAACTGGCTAGAAATTTCATTTTTGGGGAACTATTCACTTAAATCCCATTCCTGTAAACAAAGGTCTTCTGGGGGGGAGGGGAGGTCAGCACTCACAAAGATGGTAACAACCTTCCTTCCTTCCTTTTCCTAAGAATAGGGCTCAGACCGTCCTCTCCCCAGGGACATCCGATAATGCCTGGAGACATCTCTGTCACTACCTCTGTCACTACAGTGGTGGGGCACTATCCTACAATGCACAAGACAGTCCCTAGAACAAAAAGTTATTTAGCCCCAAATGTCACTAGTACCAAGGAGTGAAACCCTGTGCAGGCAGATTAAGGGAGAGCAAACAAAAGCAACTCTCTACTGCGCTTTCTATGAAAAGCCATGGAAGTGGAAATACAAGTTAGTTAACTTAGGTTTCCTTTTCCGCCTGGTGTGAGCGCACCTCTGCTGAGTATGTCTCGCTGGGTACACGGGAACGCTGTGGGGCGCAGCCCCCCACCCTTCTACCAACTCCAAGACCAACGGGCGGAGAGACCTATGGAGTCTGGAACTCTGTTCTGCATGGGAAATATGTGATCGATTTTACGGTTTAAATTTTAAATCGCGTAGTATGCCTCCAAGTAGTTTTCTCACTTGGCGAATCTCACGTAATGACTTCATGTAATAAATGTCCTCTTTGGAAACTGGAGACGCAGACATTTTTCTTGATACAGCAACAGTTTATCCCCTCCCACAAGAGAGTCATTGAATAAATAAGAGTTTAAATAAACACCGTCTGTTGGAATCTGGCCCCCTCCAGGCCCAGCGCTGCCGGTGACCCCAAGGGGGAGCCCTGCGTCCATGTGCCTGTCAAACATAGCTGCCTGCAAGCTGGGGGCAGTGGGGGGGAGGGGTGACAACCTGGTGAGACCACCAGAGAAGTCAAGTGAAAGATGTTCACTGGGCTCCAAACCCCTTCGCATTCCCCTGCTTTCCTCTGCCCTGTTTTCCAAACAAGCCAATGCCCACGTAGCTGTAGACTCGTTTTTAAAACAAAACCAAGTGGTTCAGAGTTACAGCTCCATAAGCAACTGCAATTCAGCCATACTCCACACAGATCTGCATAAAGGTGTCGACTTTTATATCCCCCTGAGCTCCGGAAAGCACAATCTAGATGTCAAGAGACTGAATTTATGAATCTCAGATCTAAACTGGAATCATTCTTTCATGCTGCAATTTTACATTTTACGATACCAGGTTTTTAGCATTAAAAATATTTTGCACATTCACGGCCAAACACAGAGCCCAGTGCAGGAGGTGCGCTCCCTCAGAACACAGGTGAGGCTCCAAACATCATCCTTTGGGGTGCCCAGGTGGCTCAGTTGGTGAACTGTCCAACTTCAGCTCAGGTCAAGATCTCATGGTTCATGAGGTCGAGGCCTGCATGGGGCTCTGTGCTCAGAGCTCAGAGCCTGGAGCCTGATTTGAATTCTCTCTCTCTCTCTCTCTCTCTCTCTCTCTCTGCCCCTCCCAGGCTCACACTCATCTCTTTCTCAAAAAATAAATAAATAAACATTAAAAAAATTTTAAGAAAAAGCAAACATCACCCTTTGAGGCCTGCCGCCCATACGTCACAAAGTGCACAAGTTAATAACTAACCCAGCCTTGCCGGGAGCTCCTGGCACACAGTGATCTGGCCACAACAGAGCCTAAGAAGGCTGGGCCTACTTTACTGTCTGTCCCAGACATACAGCAGTGTTTGGTCCATGAAGGAAGAATCGAGGTGGTCGGTCACCTTCTATGTACCTCACGGAAGGTCCCCTCGGGCTCAGAGTGCTCACTACAAGACTCGGAGAGAGCGTGATCTATGGGAAAGATATTCCACTTCGGAGCCAAGCGACTCGGGATCAGGTCCTTATTACCATCATTAGCTTTGTGACTCTAGCCAGGTGTCCCCAGCGAGAACACTGGGGTAATGAAGCCCATCTGAGAGGACACACGCAGTAATGTTTGCGGAGCACGTGCTGGCC